AGAGGGTGTCATCTTTAAGATCAACGATAGAAGAGAGAAGATAGACTCCACTTTTAAAGCTAAAGAATTTTTGAGACGTCAGCTGGGGACAGACGAAGAGTCCAAAGAGGAAGAAACGAAGTCTAGTGACTCTGCTACCTCGGGAATGGATGAAGATTCTGCGGCAGAAAAGGGTGCTGGACCTGCCAGAGTGGTATACGATTTTAGAGACAGAAAGCCGAAGTAAAGGCAGAAGGACTTGGAAAATGACCTTTTGAAGCGATGAATAAGAAGATGATCAGAGACTTCTCTCATAACAACTAACAAAATAACATATAAATAACGAATTGTTATAAGCAAGAACTCTACAAGTATATTGTGATATTAAAACTAATTGTACTAACATTTTTACTAACAGTGAAAAGATCTCCTCCTCTTGGGGTTTTAGTTTAGTGTGGTTTGCTTTCCTTTATCCTTAGTTGTTGTCCCTTCCCTAATATTTCTTTGTAGTTTTTGTAGTATTTGCAAAATAAAAAATATCCCTCCGGGGATTTTAAAAGAAGAAGAAGAAAAACAGCAGGAGAGGCAGTGAGTTCCCTCTGCTTAAAAGAAGAGCCCTGCTATATCCAGGGGTCATTTCGTAGAAAAAGAGGTGCAGGAGCTCATTAGCATAACTCATTAGCATAACTTATTTGCATATGCCACACCCCCTGACATCACTAGAAGTGTGTCAGAAGGCAACACCCACCGCTCAGGCTCCACTGGACGGTTTGGGATTGCTAGTTGTTGGTGGGGGGGAACATGTAGATCTGTCCTCACAGAGGAGAGAGAGCTTGTACCTGAATAAAACTTAGTCTTAAAGGTGCCACTGGACCGTTTTGGGCCGGGGGGCCGGGGGGAGCTTTGCAACTTACCTGGCAGCTTCTTGCTTTTACTGAGGGCTGCTGGGAGCAGGGGGTGGGGCTTATTGCATGTGCTCGCCCCCTGGGCTCTTTACCGCCGGAGCTCCGCTCCTGTGTGCTCCTGCAGGAAATGACCCTTGGCTGTATCAAACCAAAAGTCCGTCTAACCCAATTTCCTCTTTTCTGCAGTGTCTAACCAGATGCCCTTCAGAAGAGGCCAAATCCTGCCCCTGTTGTCTCCCCCCCCCCACAACTGGTTCTTAACATAAAAGTTCTCTTTAGCCATATTGGCCAATAACTGTTGTCAGAACCTTTCACGGACCTGTCCAATCACCCTTTAAAGCTATCCAGTTTGATTCTTATTTTGCTTTCTAGATCGCAAAAGGTGCCACCCAAGAGGAGCGACTGGAATGGGATCTTCCGGAAGGGTCAACTTTTTCCTGGCTGCCCAATCCCAAAAAGGCTCTAGAAGGTGCTTTTTTAAAAATATGGTGTTGTAAAGCGTCTTGACTTGTTGGTAAAGGCTGTCAATTAGAAACAAGTCAAGTAAATTATGCCATTACTATTATTATTTCCATTACTATTTCCGTTATTTCCACACTTCTCTGCATGAGACAGAGAACTGATAAAAATTAGCTTGGAAACGATGAAATCAAGGTGGAGCATTCAAAGAATCTTTCGAAAGCACCACGGGTTTTAGTTTATTTTCATAATTTTGTGTTAATGTTTTGTTTGAGTGGGTTCAAGTTGAAAACTGAACAGCAACTTCATAACTAATCTATATACTAATAGCCCAGGGTCCCCAGTGTGTGCGGATACTTATTGGGGGCACGTGGAGGCTCAACAGAAATTCCTGCACACTTGAGGCATTACTTAGGGGTGCAGAAAAATCTGACATGTTTAAAACAATATACAGGGATACTTAAATCCCCCCAAAACTGAAACTGTGTTCTCGCGCATGCGTGGAGAATGGACTTGCTGTTTGGAACTGTGGCGGAGCTTGCTGCTGGCAGCTGCGAGGAAGCCAGGGGAGCCTTGGCAGGCGGGCAGCTGGGACCTGAGCAGGGCTTGCCACAGTTGCTGCTGGGCTCACCTGCAGCCGCCTCCTCCTCCTCCTCTTTAGTGAGGACCTCCTCCTGCTTTGCACGGCCATGGGCCGTGGGGCATACTCCCCCCTGCAAGTATCACGGGTCCCGCTTCTTGTAATTTTATAACTTGGGAGAGGTTCTGTTGGATTGCTTCATCATAGATTTAAGGCTGTAAGTGACTCCTTGCCGGTTGCATATGATCTCTTCCCACAATGTCCAACCTGTCTGGTATTCAAGGAAGCGGACAGATTTTCTTCAACAGACAGAAGAGGAACACTTGAATTGTGAAGACTGTAAATCACTGTGCATCATCTAAAATTAAACTCCTGCTTTATTAATATGAGGATTGTGATTACAAGGAACCCCTGTGTTTTCTGTAGTGCTAGAGGAGGATCTAGGGCTGCCAGTTCCCCCAGGAGGGCGGAGGTTCCCCTGCTCAAAGGGTCCCCAATCTGCCGGTCCGGAAAAGGCCGGCGGGGGGAACCCCGCCCCCAACGTGCCCGGTACAGGCCGACGTGCCGGGCGCAATGATATCACCCAGAGGTGACGTCATCACTTTGGGCATGTCGTTGGCTGACGCTCTAGCAATCAGCCTGAAAGCTCTATGGTACCATGGGCTCCATAGTGCCCCTGGGCACCACGTCGGGGACCCCTGCCCTATTGGTTGATGTCTCCTATTTTGAGAAGAGTACAGACTGCAGGCTTGAGGCCTTTGATGCTCTGAAACATCTTATTCGCATCTTGCCTGATGAAGAGTTCTGGAGAATTTTAAACTCTTGTTCATTATGTTACTTTATGACAACTTAGCTGATCGTACGATTGGACCAGGAAGGGTAGGTGCTTTCTTTTTGCCCCGCTGCCAGTGCCCAGAATGCCAGAACTGTTGCCAACACTGGTGGGGGAGGAAGACCATTCTATCCCGCCCTTTCTCCTGTGAGGATTCTAGCTACCATAAAGCCAGCTGGTTTGTAGGACGAGCAAAGCTGTGCCCCAGCTGTCGCCAAAGGGCTATTACCAGCGTGGTGTAGTGGTTAACGTGTTGGACTGTGACGTGGGAGACCCAGGTTCAAATCCACACTCTGTCATGGGAACTTACTGGGTAACCTTGGGCCAATCACTCACTCTCAGCCTAACCTGTCTACCTTGGGTTGCTAGGCCCCTACCTCCTGCCAGTGGGGGGTGGGAGGGAGCTCCTCGGGAGTGGGGGGCAGGGCATTGTCACCACACATGATGCCCCTGATGTGATGTCATCACGTGGAAGTGATGTCATCACGTCAGGGATGTCGTGTAGCTCTGGTTTAAGAGCAGAACTCTATGGTTTTACCATGGAGTTTTGCCCTCTTTTTTGCCAGCTTTTTGAAAGGTGCCTTGTTTTGCACTCAAACATTCCTCTTTGGGGGTGCAGCTTACCCTGCCAATCAGCAGTGGTCAGAAGCCCGAAAAATCTCTGGACCAGGGGTCTGGCAACCCTATGTCTGTCTCACAGCGTGGCCTACTTACTGTGTGGGGAGGATAAAATGGAGAAGGAGAGCATGTTGTGAGTCTCTTTGGGTCCTCATCGAGGGAGACAGTGGGGCATAAATAAAGTAAGCAATACAAATAAATACCAAGAAAGAGGCTCTCTGGTGTGGCCCTTCAGGAATTCACACAGGGAGTTGGTGCCCGGGTGGGAGGCCTGCCTGTGGATGCCCATCGCTGCTGGGATTGAAAACCAATCGGTAGAGAGGCGAGAGAGAAAATTTTGAAACCATTCTCCAGTCTAACTCCAAGGTCTCTTTTCTCCCCCCAGAGGACTGTTTTGAGGTGACGCGAGAGGCCATGTTCCACTTGGGTATTGACTGTTCCATGCAGAATAATATTTTCAAGGTCAGGTGAAACACAGTTCCAATAGCGGTGCTTTGTAACGGTTAAAAGACAGCTCCTGGAGATTTTATTAATCTGCATGCCCCTGGTGGATGCTCTGCAAAGATCCTCTCTCCTACCACTAGTGGCTTGCTTGGCCAGAGGCTCAAAAATTCTCGGGTAATAATCTGTGGAAAGGGACTTCGTTTTCCCAGCCTTCTGACCCCTTGGAGGAGTACTGGCAGCTTCCCTTCTGGCCTTCCCTGGAGGTGCCTGGATCCTGGCTGTCGGTGCCTTTGAAACAGCTGCCCGCTCCTGAACCATCTCGTCTCCCTTGCAGATATTAGCCGGGGTCCTCCACTTGGGCGACATCCAGTTCTCGGAGGCAGACGATGAGTCGCAGCCCTGCCAAGTAAAAGATTATGCTAAAGGTGAGAGGCTAGCAGCGCCATGTGAAGCAGGGCTACTTGGAAGCATACTCAGTGAGGCTTACTCACCGGGAGAGCGTTCTTATGGCTGCATGGCAGAATCCACCCATCCCCAGTGGCTTTTCTTTTAGGGCCAAGGTAGGTGAGAGGTGGGGAGAGTACAATTTGATTTCCACAGAGGGTGGTTGATTGAAAAGCTAAAAACACCCATGGATTGGGGGTAAAACGCTGGCCATTGTATGGAAGCTAATCTTTTCCATCTTCCCAGTACAAGCCTGTGCCTGTCCGGGACTTTTTATTCTATCAACAGGGCTGCCTGTTTTGTTTGACTTCAATGGCCCAGGCTAGACAGATCTCATCAGATGGATTGGGGGTAAAACGCTGGCCATTGTATGGAAGCTAATCTTTTCCATCTTCCCAGTACAAGCCTGTGCTTGTCTGGGACTTTTTATTCTATCAACAGGGCTGCCTGTTTTGTTTGACTTCAATGGCCCAGGCTAGACAGATCTCATCAGATCTTGGAAGCTAAGCAGGGTCAGTCCTGATTAGATCAAGATGGGTAGCCGTGTTAGTCTGTCTGTAGCAGCAGAAAAGAGCAAGAGTCTAGTAGCACCTTAAAAGACTGACAAAATTTGTGGCAGAGTGGGAGCTTTTCGCTC